GGGACTTTTCACACTCTCTCCCAAACCCAAGGACCTTCCCCTCTTTATACATTTTTTAAAACAAAAATTAAACCCACCCCAACACTATGTCTTCCCCGTTTTTAACATTTTGTCATGACCCCGTCTTTTTCCAGTGCTTTACCCCTTTCATTTCGAAATGCCTCACGTACCTCCCCCACACTACTCCTGTTTTTCACCCCTAAAGATGGTTCCCCTCCCTGCCCCAGGGCATAAAAATTCCCGCCTCCCTTTCTTCGTCAAAAATTTAAAATTTCCCTCAAAATTTCTCGCCACTCCCAAAAACCTCTTTCCCCCAAAACTAATTCCCCTTCTCTTTTTTTTAATGATAAATCCATTTTTTCCCCTAGGCTTTTTTAAACTTGTTTTTCACTAAAAAAAAATTTTCTTTTTTATTAAAATTTTTCTTAAACGGCCTCCCCCACCTATCTTCTGTCTCCTTTTGCCTCTCTACTATCTCTTCCCCTTTCTTTTCTCTCCTATATCTACTTTCTTATAAATTTGCTTTGTAAATCCTTTTTTCTTTTTCACCCCTTTCTTCATATTCCCCCACCTCTCTTTCCCTCCTGCACTCCCCCCCTTAACCGCAAACTTTGCCCCACATTCTAATTTTGCATTTTTAAAAACTATTAAAATTCTTCAACCCCCCGCTCCTACTTATACCCGCACCCGTCCACCTTTCTGCCATAGTTTTTATACTCACCCGAACTTTCCCCCCTTGTTTATACATTTCCCTCCCCCTTCTTTTTGTTTCCCTTTTTCTTACCTCTCCCTTTCTTAATGTTGTACAACTAAAAAATTTATCCGATTATCAGTTGCCCTCTATAAACATGTACATCTGGGGGCCCACCCAAAACCTTTTATCCACCAAATTATAATTAACAAAAATACTTTCATTACATGTATATCATACCCTTTTTTGTTTTTTTTATCCTTTTTCATAAAAAATGTTTACTTATTAACCAAAACCCCTTTTAACATAGCTCAATTAAAAGTCCCCTTTTCATTTACCCCCGGCACCCCAAATTTACCTATACTCCTCCAAAATTTTTTCCCACTTTTGCATTAAAATTCCAACCACAAGTCTCTCACACTTGGTTTAAAAACTCCCCAAAATTATCAAAATTTCCCAAAAAAACTCTTCCCCTCTTCTATTTTCTTCTTCCCGGTAAAAGCTTACAATAACCCCCTTCTCACATCCAACTTTATTATAAACCATATAACCTTTAATTAAACATTTATATCCCTTTTTCCCGCCCTAGCTTACCTTCAAACATTATTGCTCTCCTTCTTTTGCTTAACTCTATTAGAAAACCCTGGGCCCAATCCCATAAAATTTCCCCTCCCTGAAACTCACCCACCCACTTCAGCTTGTTTCACTTAAAGCCAGGACACCCGTTTTCTCTTCATAACATCCCCAATCTCTCTTTTTTCATTTGCACAACATCCCCGCACATTCAGACTTCCCACTTTTACAATTTTTTCTTTTTATTCTTTTTCAGTAAAAATTATATTTTTTATATTATTTAATATATATTTATTTTTATATATATTTATTATATTTATATTATGTCTATATGTTTTTTATTATATATAATATTATATTAATTTTATATTTATATATATATATATTTAACATATATATATTTATATTATTATATATATTATTATATATATATATTTATAATAACATTTTTGCTTAATTTTATATATATTTTTATTAATATTGTTTTATTATTATATATATATTTGTATTTACTTATTTTATATTTTATATTATTTATATATATATATTTATATATTTTATATATATTATTAAAATTTATTTATATATATTATATATATATATTTATAATTTTTTATATTTTTTATATATATTTTATGAATTTGATCACGAAAGCGCTTGGAATTTTTTTTTTTCAGAGTGGTTGTTTTGCATATATTTTATTTTAATTATATATATATAAATTTTATTTATGTATATATATATATATTATATATATATATTATATATATATATATATATTATTTTAAAATATATTATATATTTATATTACATATGTGATGATAGATAGATAGATAGAAAGATAACAGACAGACAGATGTAGTAGATAGATAAATAGATAGTAGATAGATGATAGATTTAGATAGATAGTAAAACAGTAGACGTAGATAGATATAGTATATAATATAGGGAGGTACCACCCTTTTGGGAAATTTGGGCTGGTGACCCATCCTCAGAAAAAGAAATAAATTTATTTAGGGGGAAAATCAAGTTTCCCCGGAGTGTTTGAAATATTTTCTTCTCCACCCTCCAATTTTCTATATTCTTGTGAATTTATTTAGACAAAATACATTAACGAAAATAAAATGGAGAAAAAAAAAACTTACATAAGTTCAGGCTACATCTCGAAATTTGTCCAGCCCCCCGGCGAGGGACCGCGAAACCCAAAATGCTGCTGGTATTTCCCTTTTTTTAAAAAAGAGTCTCGGGGAAGGGGAAAGCTGGCCGCTCTGTGATCCTTGTTCTGTGATGAGCTTTTCATCAGTTTTTTGAGGAACTTTAAGCACACTTGACCCATGTTCCAAGTGTCTCTGACTTAGGATGAAGTTAG